TTTTTTTAAAAAAAAAAAAAAAAAAAAAATAAAGGAAGCCGAACGGAAACTGCCACAACTCTTCCTCTTCGCGGGCAGCCGCCGAGGAGCTCGGCCAAAGTCACTCGGAGGGGAAAACTGGCCCCACAAAGGCCTTCCCCGAGCTGGGCGCCGGGGCGGGAAGGGGGGGCAGCGAAGGGAGGCGGGGGGGGAAGGCAGGTCAGTCCCCATGTCCTCACTCGGGCCGAGGGAGCCCAGGTCCCGCCAGCCCAGGCACGGGGAAGGGCGGCCAGAGTTGCCCCAGCTCGGGGGAGAGAGATGGAACAGAGAAACCCCCATCTCTCGGCACTTCCCTACGCGGGGAAGCCGGCGGGAGCGGGCTGGCAGGAAGAACTCGAGTGCTGGGCAGCGGGGAACCGGGCGAAGGGAGCCGGGCGAGCGCTGTCAGGGGTGCGAGCCCCCTCTCCGCGGCCTCCCCGGGCCCCGGGGCCCCCCGGCCCCCGGGGCAGTGGCAGCCGCCCCACCATTTTCTGAGCGCGGCCCAGCGCTCTCCCCCGAGCGCGGCCGCCCCGACCCCCGTCCCCTCGCTGCCCCCCCGGTCGGCCCGGCCCGGCCCGGCTCTCCCACACACACACCCCACGCACACAATGCCCGAGTCCTCCATCTTGCCGGCAGCCCCTGCTCGGCTCGGCAGAAGGGGGAGGAGGAGGAGGAGAAGGCGGTTCTCCATTTTAGCTCGCCAAGCGCCGGGCCCGGCCTGCCCGCGGCCGGCTCTGGGGAGCAGGAAGGGGGCCCCGGGCGGGCAAGGGGGGCCGCTTTCCGCGCCCTCTCGCTCTCCCGGCCGCGCTCCGCTCGCCTCCCCCCTCCCCACCGCGGCGCGCCGGGAACGGGGGGTGGGGAAGCGGGGGGCTGGAGTGTTTTCGCGGCTCGGCCCCGCCGTCCTCCATCTTGGCTGCGCGCAGTCCCCGCGGCCAGCCGGCCTGGCGCCCCGCACGGGCCCGGGCGCCGCGGGGCCCGGCCCGGCCTCTCCCCGCCGCCGCGCACCGCGATCCCGAGTGCCCCCGCCAAACTTCCAGAAGCTTCGCCGCCATTTTCTAACTTACCTTGCCCAGTGTCGGCGTAGGCAGCGAGGAAGGCCCCGGCTCGCGGCTCCGCTCCCGTGTGCCCGGCGCGGCTCGCCCGGCTGCGCGCCCGTGCCGGCCAGTGGCGGGCTGTGGGCGCGGAGGGGCCGCGGGGCGCGGGCGGGTTGGGGTTATTTAATTTGGCGGCGGCGCTGGGGATTGTTTGGGGTGTTCGCTGCTCGGCGGCTCGCGGGCGAATGGAGGGCGCAGGCGCCACCTGGCGGCCGCGCGCCGTGGCCCGCTCTCCTGGGCCTGGGGCGACACCTGCCGGCCGCGCGCGGCGCCACCGCGCAGAGCCGGGTAAACAAGGTGCGGCGCATGCGCGGGGCCGCGCGCGGGGCGGGAGCCGCGGCCGCTCCGGGGCGGGATCGCCAGCGGGACCGGGATCGGGGTGGGATTGGATTGGATTGGATTGGGATCGGGACCCAAACACCGCACGGCCTAAAAAGGAGCGAGCGCTGGGACGCGGGGGGAGCCGGCGGGACGCGCCCGGCCGCACGCAGGCCCGCGGCGCTCGCTGCACTGGAGTGATTGGAAATGACTGTGGGGCCGAGGCGAAGTTGGGCCGCTCCAAAGGGACCCATCGGCCCCTCGCTCCCGGCCGAGCACAACGGCCCGCGCTGCGCCGGCCCCGCGGCTTCCCCCCAGGAAGCACGGTCGTGTGCGATGGGGCCCGTGGCTCGGGAGATAAATGCGGGGTTGCCCACAGGGATACAGGATCTTTATCTCGGGAGCTGCAGGACACACAGCGGTGTCTGCCGGCACCGGGGGCAGCCTGTGTGTCTCCTGAAACGTGTTCTTTCTTTGCCCGTCACCAAGTGTGTTCCGGGTTTTTAAATGAGCGTTTGCTCCTGAGCTCTGGCTGCGATTCCTTTTTTTCCCTGCATGAAGATTCATAGGAACCTGAAACAGTCCATATAAGCAGCACAGAATTCTTAAAGTAACTAGATATACAGTTTGTGACACACGTTTTTTTCACTGTATTGTGTAATGCTAAGCACATTACTCATGCTGAATAGTTGCACGTAAGCTTATATTTAGATCAGTCAGCACAATAATAGTTTTGTCCTGGTAATTAGTCTCTAATCACCCTCTCGTGTTTATCTGCTTTTAATTTTCGGGAGAGCGTTAGCATAACTAAGCACGCACTGCTCACCTGCCTAACAAAGGCAGGATACTCAGAGAAGAGTATCCACCGGTTCCGGTCTTTCCAAAACTAAGATGAGGCATCCGCAGAGCAAATAAGGCTTACAGTGGCAACAGTGATCAGATAAGGAGTGTTTAAAATTTAAAAAAACCTCAGAATAATATAAGTTGATATTACCTATTGTCCTAGTTAGGACAGCTGAGATCAGTTCATCATGGTATGGGTGTAACCCAAAACTGTGTATTCTATAGCCTTCCGTGCCATTTCCCAGAAACTGTTGTCAATAGACTATTAGCACCTCTGCCCATAAGAGCCTGACTCCTCAGNCCCTTTACTTTGGACTCAAGCGGGGCCCAAGGAACACCACTTTGTTCATGCCCCAGGGTACTGGGTTATACATTTGGGTTTTGTGGGTTAAGACCAATTGTTTGTTTCTATGATTGTACTTACTGTATTATTTTAATAAATTGTTATTCTGACTTATAACCTCTCTTTTGAGTTGAGTTCATTTCCCCTGCTGGTTAACTCTTAAACCAGCACACCTATGAATTTAGATACAATGTGTCAGTTGGTACTTGAGATAAGCCTACAAAAATGAATTATATTATATAGCTTTTCAGAATGTTTTTGTCCCTCCTGTCAAGGTTGGGGGGGGGGGAAATAAAATTTAAAAAAAAAAAAAAAGAAGCAGAAAGGTTCCCCGTATAGGGAACACTTTAAAATAGTATCCTGAATGCCTAGTCATACAACTATGTTCTTGATTTCAGTTACAGCTGCAGGTGCTTATGATGATCTTTAATGTGTATCTGATAATGTCTGTCTGGAAAGTATAGAAGAATTGTGAATAAAAAAAAAGCCACCAAATACACCCAACCTCAAGTAAGCTTTAAACATGACATAGACAGTTATAAAATGACACAGAAATAGATGGAAAGCAACTGGATCCATTTGTGCCTTCCTCCTACAAAGTCAGCTTCTGACAGCTGCCAGATAGACAACTTTTCCATGAAAATAAACTACAACATTTTGCCTGCACACAGAATTCCAGTAATGTGTCTCCTGCCTCAGATACAAGAGGGCCAACTCCTATTACAACTTCAATCCAAAACTTTGCAAGACTAGAGCAGTTGACTGCGGGCACTGGCAGGAGCACAACGGCGAGGCAGCTCCAGTCAGCTGTGCGTGAAATCCATGCACAGCACGTGCTTCAGATATTTGGTCTGTTCCAAAATCACTGTACTTCACACTTGAGCTCACAGCTGAGAGTTTCCAGGCAAATGTGCTTAACAGAAGAAAATCTGACATAGTTTTTAAGGTGTGTTTTTGAAGGAATTAGCGTGCAAGTGCTGACAGTACCATGGCAGAGAGTTCAGCCCATTTCCAAAGCTGACTCAGGCCTTGGAAGCCCAGATCTATAACACTTCTGGGTGTCCTGACTCACATGACAGAATTTGCGTTTTTAAACTTGTGACACAAATGGAAACACTCTGGAGACCAGACTCCAGGTGCAGGGGCATATTACAGCCCCCTGCTCACAGAGCCTGCCTAAGAGGATTTTGCACTCTCTGGTTCATTTCCTCCCTCCCAGTTGTTTCATTCAGCTGTTTGCCCGGCTGCTGTCTTAGCCAAACTGTTGCCTCATCAGAGGGAGGAGGGACATTTGTTTTCTAAGGGACTGGTTTAACTTCCCCCCTCTAAACCGGATCATTTCTCAGACTCTGTTTAGAGTACAGGAGCAATTCAGTCAGCACAACTGAAGGTGTTTTGCGGTCTTGTGAGGCCAGGAATGTTTCTGTTCTGCTCCACTGCTCAGAAGACAGGAGTTTCTTAAGTCAGCTGTGCCCTGGGAGGATTCCCCACCTTAAGGGGCACCAAAATGGCTCTCTGATGGAGGACCAAACTGAGTCTTTGAAGATCCTAACTGCTGCAGTTTCCCCAAGAACTGATCATGCTTCTGGGACTGAGCCTTCTACTTGGTACAACAGGGAAGGGGAGACGAAAAGCAGTTCCTCTATGAGAACAACACTTTTTTCTAAGCTAACAATTCCAGAATGGGCTTCTACCATCTGTTCAGATTTGCGAAAAAAAAAAAACGAACAAAGAACATCCTGAAGTTTCTGTATAGTTTTAGCACTCTAGCATCCTTTCAAATACAATGAAAAATGTAAAAGAAAAATAAGCGCTATCAAAGCATGATAAGGAAATAGAGATATTTAAAATTCTGACCTGCCTAGAAAGGATTTATATCTGATAGAAAAGAAGTTCTGTGGAAAACTGGGAGAAAGCACTCTACAGGACTATGTCAACTTTTTCATAGAAGTTACTCTTTAGAGCTTCAAAGCCCACCATTTCTGATATTGAGCCCAATTCAGAGAGGATTTAACAAAGACTTTACAACAGGCACTTTTACTATGCTTGATCCAAAGAGAGCTTCGTGATCAGTCACACAGTTAGGAAATTCAGCAAGGAGAGGTCAGATACCAATTCCATGTCTGAATTAATGGCCAGAGGTTCACCACTAGAGAAGATCAGAATACATTCAAGCTGCCAGATGGCTGATTCATTCTTCCAGGCAGGAGATTCATGCTTGTGCTGCTTCCTTTTCTTTGAGGGCAGCAGAATAGGAACCCCCTCTGCAGTTCTGTTTCCTCTTTTCTATTATAAAAACACCCCAATAAAACCAAACAAAACCAAACAAAACCAAAATAATAAAAAAACCCCATACACAATCCTTTACTTTTTTAAGATTTTGCTTAGGATAATTGGAAAACAAACCAGAATTTGTATACTGGGTTCCTTCCAAGGTGAGATGGTAACTTTGATGGCCTGTATTGAATAAGGCACAGCCATATTTTTATCTGTTGAGTTGGGTACAGAGGGAAGAAACAGTCTTTCCAGTCAGATTTTTTTTCCCAGCTTTTTGAAACTGGCTTAGTCACTCTAGGGAAATCTGTTCTAAATCCTTTTGAAGATGAGCTATTACATAAGAAACAAAAATAAAAACCAAAAAATGGGTTACTTTCCCATAATTTGCAGGAGAGAGATTGCAGATCAGTAGCTCCTTAGGCCTTTCCCTGTTCTGTGAATAATTTCTTCCTTTTGCCATTTACATAAGTCTCCCTTGTGTGCCCCTATTTCTCTCCAAGTCTTTCCAGAACACCTAACTCATAGCTGAATTTTCTTTGATTCTCAGACCTGTAAAGGAGCACAGAATCACAGTTTGTTCTGTACCACTGAAAAGGAAGTTTTAACTCCCCTTCATTATCAGCTCTAGAAATGATCAGAACCCCAGTAAGTCGCAGATGCCTTCCTGCTAATTGCATTATCAGTGGCTTTATCAGTCCTCTGTGTCACTCATTACCCAAAGCCCTGTGCTCATTCCCCTGCTTGGGTGAGGTGCTCTTGCTACGTCTTGTTCTTAGAGATAAAAAGCCTCTAGTTTTAAAGTTTCATCACCAAACTGTGTAAAGGTCACACCAGTTTTTGGTAGGAAATAAGAAAAAGCCCTTCTCCTGGCTTCAGTCAGGAGGAGTTGCTTTCACTTGAGGCATCACCTCGCCCTGTGTACAGGAACAAGTAAGCGTTGCCATTCAGGCCACCTCTCTTGGATCCAGGACAGAATCTGCTCCAGTTTCCAGATGTAGGGAAGTTTTGAAAGGCACAGGCAAGGCATGCTAGTGTCCTGTAGCTAAGTCCAGGCAGAAGGATTGTGAGTCAAGGATCATTTTATGAGTCAGGCACTATGACAGCATCGGTGACAAAGTCTGAAGAGGATGCACAGGAACCAGAGAAACATGTTTCAAACTGGGTAAGTGGGTAAGTGGCAGGGCCTGGTTAAAGGCAGCAAAGAACAGCCTGTGTGACAGAAAAAGGGCTGGGGAGAGAACCTGCCAAGAACTGAAATAAGGTCAAGCAGGCCAAACAGCCACAACTAGCAGCGAGTGGGGGAAGCAGCTTTAGCTGAGCAACAGCTAAAAACCAGTGAATCTACATCGCACTCTGGATGTGTAGGGCACCTCACCCATCAGGAACAGAAAGCAGTTCTCAGCTGGTCAGATTTCCTGGGGCTCTAGCCCTCCTG